TAGTTTTATTAAGACTCAGTTCACTTGTGGCTCATTCCTGTTCCTATGTCTTTGTCACATGGTCTTTTGATTGATGGCTTGGTGGGCTCTAATTCCATAGCCTTGAAAAACTATGGAAAACTCTTTTCTTCTCTTTAGTTTTGAGTTTGCTTCTATAATTCTACCTATATAGATTTAAAATACGGCAAATGTCTCCAGAAAACAGATCCCTCCCTCCAGCTAGACTTTTGCTAAGTGCCATTAAGCCCTGGGAGTTTTACATCATCTTTTAGAAGCTTCTGGCCCAACTCTCTAGTGTCCATAACTACCTCAGAATTCAGTCAATCTGTGTGGTGAATAGAATAATGTATATATTTATAGTTTCTTGAGTTTGGGCTAGTTGTGCTAACCCCACACAACTGCCAAATGCTTGCGGTACTCTCTCTTAGTCAAAGTCCTGTCTAAGCAAAGTCAGATTGATACTCAGTTCTATGTTTTGAAATATACAAAATATTTTAAAAATCATCAGCACACTTAGAAAGGGCTCTTCCTTGTCTAGAATTTCTGTTTATTTTTTGATTACCTCAACATATTGCCATGCATTCTTTCATTTTTATTTTCAGCAATTTCAGCAGGTAATCCATGCATTTTAAAATGTGACTTGTCTGCCTTGCAAGCACAAGGTTCTAAGTTGAAACCCCAGTACTGCAAAACAAAAAAAATTCCAAAGAAACAAAAAATGACCTACAACTTGTGCAGCAATTTGTTTTCTTTTTCCTTTTCTAATTTTACCAGTGGAAGCTCTCAGGAATAAGTAAGTTTTTTGTGGATATTTAGTTTATTGTGATTCACAAAGTTTTTCTAAAGAAAAACAAAACAGCTTTTTCTACTGTTATTAATTGAAACTGGTAGCAGACTGATGGCTTAATTTTTAACTTGAATTTTTAATTCTTTAAACAGTATTGTTGAACTTATCACTGCAGTGAGTATAGTTAGGTCTCAGAATTAGTGACCTACCCACAAGTGGATGTGCCTAAACATACTTCAGTATGCTCATCCTTTCTCTCATTGCCTTTAAAATAACTTAAAAATATTAACTTCTAAACTAAGAAAAAACTAATTTATCTTTAAGACAGTGTGTGTAGAGTAGTAGTTTTCATTTTTTTAATACAAACCATGCAACTCAGGAAAAACTAATAATTTTACATGTTTCTAACTTCATACAAGTTAATTTTGGCTAACTATGGGTTAATCAATAACAGTAAGTCAGAATTTATTATTTATTGCTTTGCAGGGGGAGGATTTATAAAATATGTATATGCTAGTTTGTTTTCATTAGTATTTTCCAGTCTGGTTTGATGACCACAGATTATTGGGGTTCCAAATTTTTAAGAAAACTGATTGAATAAATAATGTGAATTACAACATAACACACATCATTTCTATATAATTCTATGAGACTGGCATTGCTGTAGATAAATATGAATTTAATCAACAGAATATTTATAGCTAGGTATAGTATAGGGAACTACTGTGGAAACAGCTTTGCTCCTAAATCATAATGAGTTTAATGCTAACAACATGTTTTACCATTTGTCTGTTCAACTCAGACAAAGTTTGGCAAATAAGGTGATATAATGGTACCATCTGGGGGAAAAGAACTGTAAAGATCATCTTAATGAAAGAATAAGATGACAGAAATATTGTGTAATCTAAAGTTTGGTCTACATTTTTGTTTGGATAGTTTCCAACACTTCACCAAATATTAGTTTAGATTAACTGGCTTAAAACTAGTTGGTTTATTTTTATAGGCAATGGGTTTCGTAAGACAGGTATCTTTTTAAATTGAGTTATAATCACCTGACACATAATTGTAGAAGTTACAGTATTTATTTCTTCACATTATGATCACATATTCCATGAATTACAGAACCATAAAATTTAAGAGACAAATAGTATCTTAGAGTACTATTTACAAAACCTCAATTTAGTTTGTCAAAGACCTAGAAAAGCTAAGTGAACTATTCTAAATCATCAGACCTTGTTAACATTTTATTTATACCTTTTCTCTAATGACGAACATAAACATTTTCCTGCTATTATCATTGAGAAAGATGCATGCAACATGGGGAGTTGGTCTTAAATATGTAAAATTAATGTGTTTTTTGGGGAAAAAAAGGGCTTTAAAGATACATAAGAAATCCTACTGCTTCCCTGTTTGAAACTATAAGGCCAGAAATAGAAAGAAAAACACCTTTAGTATTAAGTTGCTCTGAGGCATTTTAGTTTTCTGATAGTCATAACAGTATGTTAAATAATTCATACAAGTGAACCAGGTCTGTTTAATCCATCTTTTCAGAATTAGATTTAGTATTAGGTTTGTGTGTGTGTGTGTGTGTGTGTGTGTGCATGCGTGTTATCAGATTTTTTTTACCACAAAAAAAAAAAGTGTTGCTCTGTAATCACTAACTATCTCGATCTCAGTTAAACCTTATTTATCATTTTACTGTGCTTCTTGGTGTTACTTCTAGGTCAGGAAGTATGGAATGGGTGAAATCTTGGCAGCAATAGTAAAGGTAGATTAAATATAGAAGAAATTTTTCCCTCTGCTGTGAGGGAGAAAAGAATGAAAATTGGAATCAGCAGTGCTGGTTCCTTCTGAGCCTATAAGGGTAAGATCATCTTCTGAGGTACTGGCTGTTAGGATTTCAACATTCAACCCATAAACACTTAAAGGAGCTTGGCATCTATTGTTGTCTTGTGGTCACTGCCTCTCCAGGCATCATCAATTGGGAAGTGACTAAAAAACCAAACCAAACCAAAACGAAACCTTTGGAGACATAGAAAAGAATGAACACAGCGGACTGATTTCTAACTTATAAACTTGACCTCATTTATTATTATTTCTCTTCTCTCACATTTTCCAGTGCTGTTAGTACAGCATCATCCTTATTCTTGCTTCAGTTAAGCTCCTGTAATTCTGAACTGTCACTTGATCTTCAAATAAGCCAAATAATCTCCAAATAAGGTTGTTTTGCCTTTCCCTTTTTTTCCATTTAAATATTCCCATTACAACTCTATTTATTCAAATGCTACTTTCATAGGAGGATTTCCCCTACTTCCCCAATGTTAGATGATTGTCTTATGCTCTCAATATTGGGCAATTTTAACAATTATTAGTTGTACTGCTTCCTATTTTTGTCTCCCTGTACACTAAACTTTCTGAGGGCAAAGGCCATGATATTTCGTCTTTGTATTTCTACTGCTAAGCTCAGTGCTTGGTAGATTTGATTAACAGTTCTTGAGTAAATGCCTAATTTTTATATAAACACAATTATTTTGTGCTATAGTTGTTTTTTTAAGATTTTATTAAAAATATTACTTTTAAAAGTGTACAGTGATCTCACTTATACTGCTAGTTGAACAATGTAGTACGAACAAGTTAACTTGGATTTGTTTGCAGCACACTTGCAACTGTCATTCTGTAGGTAGAGAAGCTTTAGGCAGACACGGATATATTACCAAGTAAATTCTTAAAATTCTGGGGAAGCTTCAAGCAAGAAATACACTTTTAAAAAATAAGTGCCACTTTATCTTTTTTTCACTGTGGTAAAACAACATACATAACATAAAAGTTACCATTGTAACCATTTCAAATGACAACACCCTGGCATATCGCGCCACCATTATGTTTCCAAGGAAAATAGTTTTTAAACCTAGTTTTTAATGAATAAAGCTAGGAAAGAGCTTCTGGTCCTGAGGTACTGTAGAGAATGATTATCATACACAAACCAACCAGGAGCACAGTTTCAACGAACGCAAACTTACCGAAAAAAAAAAAATCTGTCGAGGGACAAACGGGCAGGCGGAAACCCTCAAGACCCAGTGGCGCACTGATGTCAACTGGGGTCCTGCGGGGAACGGCCGCGCTCGCTCGGGCGCGCAGCCGAGGGCCGCAGTCCGACCCGCAGCTCCAAACCCGTTCCGCAACGGTGCGCCATCGGGGGTGGCGTGGGCGCACCCATGGCTGTTATAGGAGTCACTGGTAAACATTTCCCCAAAAGCGCGCCGTGACACCGGGGCCTGTGCGATGGGGCGAGGCGGCCAGGGCGCCGCGCTCGGGACCTCCTCCTCCCCCCCCTCCGGGCCCCGGTTCCCGGAAGCGGGCGGGGCCGCACTTTCCGCCTCCAGCGGACACGGAGGGCGCCGGTATTTACTCCCAGCGATTGACACCCAGGACAGAGGGAAGAGAGGAAGGGCGCTCCGGAGAGGAACTCCCTCGGTGGGAACCGCCTTACTTCCTGTTGTAACACCCCACGAGGCAGGAGCAGCTGCCCGCCCGCACCCCTCACACTCCTTCCTCAGTCCCTGCTTGTCTTCCTCTGGTTCTACCCCAGCTTCAGCGACAGCGGAAGTAGCTGACCAATTGGTCCGCCGGGAAAACTCTTCCCTTTTATTCTTTGGTGTGGGGCCGAAGAGCGACTACAGCTCCCAGGAGACTACGCTGCAGGTCGAGCAGGGACGAAAGAGAGAGAATCTAAACACTAGTTGGAAAAGGGACAAGACAGGCTTTTTCTGTTACCTTAGCGCCAACAAACGAGCCGCCACCACCAGCCTGTAGAAAACAAACCCCAGTATGCTCACTTCCTATTTTTAAATCTGGCGGGGCATTTTCTTCTGGGCCAACCGCTCCCCCCGTTTACTGCCTTAGCCAATGAGCGTGAGGCCCGCCATTTTTCAAACCCTTTTCCTGCCGCCAATCAGGATCGAGCAGTACATTCCTTTCCTGACCGGTTCTAACGGGTCTGGGAGTTAACGACCTGGGAGACCCACCGAACATGCTAGGCTGAGGCTGGGGGGACGGGCCTAGCAAGATATCCACCAATGGGAATTCGTTATGGAGAGGGGGCGGGGACTCTGCGGGTTTGAATAATCGTCAGAGCCAATCAGAGAGGTGGAGGTGTGGCCTGTGGCCGGACTCTTCAAGTTGCCGTGGCGCGGAGAACTCTGCAAAACAAGAGACTGAGGATTGCGTTAGCGATAAACCAGTTCACGCCGGATCCCTGGGAAGCAGCGTCTCCGTCGTTTCCGACCGGTTTGCGGTACTTTAAGAAGCTCGCAGCAGGAAATTCTCTCGGTTCTTAAGCCTGTTTTTCCCGTTTCCCTGAGCGCTTTTTCTCAGGACGGGGCTCCGGGGCTCTTGGGGCTCCAGCTGGCGAGCGGGGTTTGTGGTGCGGGCCGGTGAGGGCCTGGGCTGTGGAAGCAGGGCGGGCGGGCGGGCGGGGGGCCCTCGGGCCCGGTTCCCGCAGGTTTTTGAAGGCAGCTCGCGACGTGGAAGGCGGGGGTCCTTCTGACAGACGGGGCTGGGGGTTCGAGGGCCCGGCGGCGGCGGCGGGCCGGGCTCGGGGCAGTGGGGTCCCGCGTCAGGAGCGCGGGCCCGGCAGGCGGGAGGAGGGGCGTGGGTTTGGCGGGAACCGCGGGCGCCGCGTCCACCCACCCCCTGTCCCCAGGCCGCCGCCATGGGCAAAGGAACCCCAAAAGCCGCGGGCAAGATGTCGTCGTACGCCTTCTTCGTGCGGGCCGGGCTCGGGGCAGTGGGGTCCCGCGTCAGGAGCGCGGGCCCGGCAGGCGGGAGGAGGGGCGTGGGTTTGGCGGGAACCGCGGGCGCCGCGTCCACCCACCGCCCTGTCCCCCAGGCCGCCGCCATGGGCAAAGGAGACCCCAACAAGCCGCGGGGCAAGATGTCGTCGTACGCCTTCTTCGTGCAGACGTGCCGCGAGGAGCACAAGAAGAAGCACCCCGACTCCTCCGTCAACTTCGCCGAGTTCTCCAAGAAGTGCTCGGAGAGATGGAAGGTGAGGGGGGCCGGGACCCCGAGTTCCGGGGCGTCGGGGTCCCCACGGAGCACACGTGCGCCCCGCCGCTGCTCACAACGTCTGTTTTTGCTCCTGGTTTTGCGCCCGTAGACCATGTCTGCAAAGGAAAAGTCCAAGTTCGAAGATATGGCAAAAAATGACAAAGCCCGCTACGACAGGGAGATGAAAAACTATGTTCCTCCCAAGGGCGATAAGAAGGGGAAGAAGAAAGACCCCAACGCTCCGAAAAGGCCTCCGTGAGTGCATCGTAGAGTTGAGCGAGCTGCCGCCTGGATTCTTTCTCCCCCTTTGGTTGGTTAACTCTGTTGCTTCCTTTCAGATCTGCCTTCTTCCTGTTTTGCTCTGAACATCGCCCAAAGATCAAAAGTGAACATCCAGGCCTCTCCATTGGGGATACGGCAAAGAAGTTGGGGGAAATGTGGTCTGAACAGTCAGCCAAAGATAAACAACCATATGAGCAGAAAGCAGCTAAACTAAAAGAGAAATACGAAAAGGTATATTCTTGCCAGCTTCCCTTTCTTAAAGACACGTAGGTACTTTCTAAAGACATGTAGATCCAGATAGCAAGTGTATGTAAATAGTTGGAATGCTATGTAACTTTGTATTAATGGATGTGAGTTGTATACAACCTAATTGAGACTTTTGAACAAAACCAGTGTTTGTAGTTCTGGCAAATATATATGATGTGTATGTTTACACACTCTTGTAATTAGGTGAATCTTTTTTAAGAATTACGGCCCAGATACACTATGCCTATGTGTCTAAAATGTGAAAGTAGAGGGAATGTGTGCGAGGTAAAAGGATTTGCTAGTGAAAGTACTCATTGATCTAATGAAACTCCCATCTTTAGCTTTCTAAAACCTGTAGAAGGAATAAATGCTTTCAAACCTGAGGTATATTCTGAATACCTTTTTAGACATCTACCAGCATTATTGGTCAGTAATCTTAGGTTTATAACTAAGTGGTTTCTTACAGTTGAGTAATGACACCGGATGCTGATTTAATTATTTTGACAATATTTCAGGATATTGCTGCATACCGTGCCAAGGGCAAAAGTGAAGCAGGAAAGAAGGGCCCTGGCAGGCCAACAGGCTCAAAGAAGAAGAATGAACCAGAAGATGAGGAAGAGGAGGAAGAAGAGGAAGAGGATGAGGATGAGGAGGAAGAAGATGAAGATGAAGAATAAATGGCTGTCATATAATGTGTGTGGAATGTGCGTGTGTGCTCAGGCAATTGTTTTGCTAAGAATGTGAATCCAAGTGCAGCTCAACATTAGCTTCAATATAAAAACTGTACAGATTTTTGTATAGCTGGTAAAATTCTTTGTAGAGAAAATACTTTTTTTAAATGCAGGTTGTAGCTTTTTGGGGGGCTACTACATACATACAGTTAGATTTTAAAGCTTTTGATGTTAAATGTTCCTAAATATTTAATGGTTTCTTTAATTTCTTGTATGGTAGTACAGCAGACTTCATAAGAATTAGTACTAGTTAATTTTTTTTTTTTTAGGATGTTGCATTTTGTTTTTATTTTTTAAAAAAAAATTTGTAATAAAATTATGTATATTACTTGCATTGTGTTTGTCTTTATGCTAAATTAACATTCCCATAAAACACTTGATTGGGACAAAGTCAGCTTTTTGTTATTACTGCCTCATAAGTTTTTGTTAATCTACACAACGATTTTTGTCCATTTTTAGTTGTACATCTGATTTTTTTTAAGACATTTTTTGGGAGAAAAATGGAAAAAACAGGAACTTCAACTTAAAAGTCACTAGAAGCAAGGTTAAATTTCTGTTCATAAGCAGAACTGGGCCAGATTAAGGTAAAATACTAGTGTAGTTTTTGGTCTTGTGTTTTAGAATTCTGGGTAGCTATTCTAATGAGATGGATGAAACATCCCATGACTAACTTCAGTTTCACTAGGATTTGTGTTTATAGGAAAAGGCATTTTAAGAATGCTCATTTGAGGAAGCAGTCATTTGTAAATTAAGTTTGCTAATGAAGTTGACCATCTATAGACTAAATGCTTACAGAATGTATTTGTTGACAATTTTATAATTAAATGGCAATCTTGGTTACTTAAGTTTTAAAATGGAAGACAAGATTCAGATTGTTTAGAAAACCCAGGGGAACCTGGGTTTTCTTGTAATTTGTAATAAAACACCCTGTGAGAATTTCATTTCTGTTAAATTAGTGAGCTAGTAGTACAATTAATTGCCAGAGCAAACAGGCTTCAAACATTTGACTGTACTAGTTATATCCTAATGGTTATATATTCAAATTTGGGGCTTTCATAAGATTGAAAAGTGTTAGGTAGTTTAATATGCTAAAAACATTAAGGGTAATTTAGGTACATACCTAGGAGAATCTCACTTCCCTGGCTCCACCAAATGTAAGCAGTAATGAACTCTGAGCTTATTTTACCCCATTTGTAATATGGGATAAAAAATACCTAATGCATCAAAGAGCGTTTAAGTTGAAGTTGCTAAAAATAGTCTGTTTCCTTAAGGATTTTTAAATCTAATTTGGACACAAGGTTCCTGTTGGGTTCCCTTGTCATCTATCTGGGAGCCTGACTTGTCTGTCCTAATAGTTTCTAAGCTAAGAATACCCATTCTTTTAATCAAGAGCTGCTTCTCAGGATTTGAGATGGGCCTTGCCTGTTTAGTAGCAAAATTTCAAATTCCTCTGGAAGACTGCAAGTTACCAATAATCAGGACTAGGTTTCTTCAGTGAGTGAATATGTTGGGAAGCACTGACATAAAGATAAAAATTAGGTTTCTATCTCAGACCAGACACTACTTGGAGGTATGTTTATGAAAACATTGAAAATAGGTTCTATCTCACAGTACAGAATAAAAAGGTATGGAATGGATGGTTTATATTGTCCCTTGATTCCCAGCAACCCTGTTGCAGATTATTACTCTGAGAACCCCAGTAATAATTTATCCCAAGAAGGACGTAAACATAGTTACATATGTAGATTTTTCACAAATGAAGCTTAACTACACACCTGTAGTTAAAAACCTCATCATTTTAAAGATTCTTAGAACAGCTGCTGTATTTTTTAAACAGTTCTTTGGCAGTATCTGCTGAAAAGATAATTTAATCAGTTCCCTAAAGACAATTACTTTTAAGACAATGTTGTTGTGGCTGGCCTTGTTTGTGATTTCAGTTGTGAAGGGCGTCTTCTGAGGAATAGCTGGTTAAAAGGGTATGCATATTCTAAAATTTGCTAGTTATAATAGCCCAAACCTGTATTTAACACTATATGCTAAAAGTGCTCTTAACTGCTTTATTAACTTAATGAAGCCTACTAAAACTGCTTTCAAGAGAAACTGTACTATAGATACCATATAGCAATGTCTCACAGTGCTTGTTTCCTCAACAGAATTGTTTTCAAATATCTTAGTCTTTGTTACATCAGAATAACATGAGTTTAAAATTTTTTACATTTAAGTCATTTGTTTTCTTGTCTTTGGTCTTTTATTAATAGTTTGTGGAGCACTGTATATTAAGAAAAGTGACACTGAAAGGTAAATGTTTTTGTCATTTTTCTTGTGAATTTATTACACTTTTTTCATGCAAGATTTCTTTTTATGCAGTTAAATCTATTAGTTCTTTAATGGCTTTGGGAGGCCTTTCCCAGTCATAAAAACAATTGTATTTTGGTTTCTTTCTTTAAGGAACATTATTTGGTCCTCACAGAATACGTCCAAGGGACTGAGGTAAAGGCTCAAATTTCTTTCTTTTCTTTCAATGTCAGCCATTACTTTTGGTCTTTTACTCTAAAAGAGTACTGGCTTGGAAGTTCCTAAAATGTCTTATGAATCAAAGCATTCACAAGTAGCAAGAATAAAGTTAAAGAAACTGTTATACCACTGCATAAGATCAGGTCCTTTTAAAAACCAAATTAGAAATAAGTCACTTTTGGTTAGTTCATTAGATTCCTGGTGGAGATGATGGCATTTCTAGAGAAAGGATATTTATTGACATGAAATGCAAAGACCTACAGAGGCTAGAGGGAAAGTGCTGAATATAGTGAAATGAGTACTGAAGAAAGCTCTGAGGGCAGTGAGATTTTTAAAATTTTTGTATACTGTTGTACCCTAGTGACAAAACCTGTTCTATACATATTTGTAAACATAAATGTTCAGGATAAAGGGGACAGGCACTATGAACTTAGTCCTGCTGGGTAGAAATGTGGGTGTGAGAATTCCTGATCTCCCAAATTCTCAAGTAGAACCACAAAGAGATTTTAAAAAATATAAAATTGAATTTTAAGTATCAGCAATGAATTAAAATTTTAGGGTCAGCAAAAACACATTTATAGGTGAGATTGTGCCCAAGAGTCACTTCTGTATAATTTGCCAATTCTGTATAATTAGTGCTCTTATGCTGCAATAAGGGTAAATATAGACATTGTTTCTGAGATTTCAATGGACCTTCATTGTGTTGCTGGTATTATCTTGTCCAGTCTTCTTCACTAGGACACGGCAATCACTTTGGACAGTGTCCTACATCAGGTAAAAGATAATAAAACACTATCATTCACTCATTTATGTATTTGATTTTCCACATCTTTCCAAAATAGGATAAAAGCAATAAAATACAAACATACAAAGGGATAAAAAGCAAGATTGTGAGAGAAATCAAGAGTGAGGTAGCAAGGACTTTAGATCTGGGAATCAGTTTGAAAAGGACTGCTTTTTACTGGGTCATTTCAGATGAATTATGTAATCTTATTTTCCTCATCAGAACTTGTTCTGGTGGTAAGAAACAGTAGATACTCAGTAAATATTAGCTGAAAGTATACATGCTGATATGTATGTGTGTGTGACTATAGATGCCATAATGAGTTATCAGATTCAGCTTGGAAAGTATTGGTAGTCAAGGTGGATAGAAAAAAAGTAAAACAAATGTTCTTTAGGATTTTCCCAGCATCAAATAGAAATAACTTTCACAGAGTTCTGGGGATATGAAGTACAGGAGTTTTTTCCTTAACCCCAATTATGAAATTTGTGAATTTGGGCAAGTTATTTAACCTCTGTTGCTTAATTTTAGTCCCTTGGTATTTATAAAAGTGTTGAATGAAGTCTTAGGAATTGCAACTTCATTCAACACCATCCCTAAAACTTGTTTATCACTAGTTCATTTATATTCATCACTTGTACAACAATCAATTGTGTGATTATGCCACAATTCATCCACTCTGTTAATGAGCATTTAGGATTTTTTTCTCTTTTTTTACTATTGCAAATGACAGTGCTATAAAAATTCCCAACCAGGTCCCTAGATACTCAAGTAAACTCACCTCTACTAATCTGCCTCAGAACTGAATTCTAGCTGTAGCAGCAGCCCCCAAGCTCCCATTTGCCTCCTCAGCCCAGCTATATCAATACTCGAGTTCCATTTGTTGCACCATGGTTGAAAGTTCTCCCAGGTAGACAGATATGGTGAACCTTATATATTTCCCTTCTTTTAAATACAGTCTGCTTTGCCTGCTGCTCAGTTCCTGAAAACAGTTGCCCCATATGTTTTGTTGTTTTATAGTTATTTAGGACAGCAGGATAAGTCTAATACCAACTACTATGTCAATAGAACTTTTCTACTAAAAGTTTTAGTTTTGTGCTTTTAATACTTAATGTAGTTGGAGTTTACCAATATCAAAAGCTCAAGGCATTTACTTCTATCCACATGTTAAATTAGACCATTGAAAACTACATTGTATACAGGTTGTGTGAATGGCATAGGCAGAGGTAACAGTTTCTTCCCTTAGGGTACCTATTTCACTTCCTGTTTCTTTAACTTCTGAACTTCATTTCTTCACTTGTAAAATAGGGGTAATGCTATCTGATATATGAAACACATGTAAACTCACACACACACCCTTTATAGAGGTCTACAGTATAGCCTTTTTATTTTTCTGATTAAAGACAGATTTTAAGACCAGAATAATAGTTAACATTTATATTACCTTGACTGTATGCCAAGCACTTTGTGTATGTAAAGTATGTAAGTACTTTATGTATGTTAACTCACTTAATCCTAATAACAACCCTATAAAATAGGCACTGTTATTTCCCCCATTTTACAAATGAGCAAACTGTGGTACAGAGGTTGAATAACTCATCCAAGGTCACAGGGTTAATTCATAGTTTAAAAGGGATTCAAACACAAATAGTAAGAGTTTAGAATCTACATATTAGCCTACCATTTAGTTGAGCAGATTGTAACATCATTCTCTATAAAAATTAAGGAGCCCTGTGTTGCCACTTTGCTCAAATGTAGGACCCAGGCCTGATTCACCCAAAAAAGTGCCAGGTACCATCCTCAATTATTGGAATTTCAAAATCTTAAACATGAAAATTGCAAAATATTTATTGAAATACTCCTTCCTTTCATCTCCATTTTCATTTTTCAAACTTCTGTCCATTTTCTTATACCAGGTTGAATTTAATGAATATTTTCATAGTGCTCAGTTCTTTGTTTTTTAAAGTGCTTTCACACGGAATAATTTTCAAATACCTAAACATTTGGCCTTTTCTGTACCTGATTCTGGTCAT